GAACATGATCGTGGACAAGGAAGAGGAAGAAGTGAATATAACAATTCCAATGATTTCAATATGAATGTAAAAGTTGAAATCAACAAACATGAAAAGGTCTAAAGAACATTATTTTTATAGATCGTGCCCATTTGAGATAGTTTTGTTCATTAAGTTTTATAACTATGAGGTAAGGTGGTAAATTCTAAGGAAAATATTCACCTAATATATCCCTTATGGGAGCTAAAGGGTGAGGTATGATGGTTTTGGAATTATTGGAACCGATCAATGTGGTCAAATTTCTTTGAACTCCCCTCATCATTATTAATTTATACGGCATACTCAGAATAAAAAAAAAATTAAAAAAAAAACATCAAGAACCATGTGGAACACCTTTACACTGCGATCAATAACAGTGCATAACTCTTGTACGCCATGATTAGTTCACTTTCTTGCACAAGTGGCATGAAACATCTTTATGCCGCAATCCCATTCGTTATTTTCGATCAAGAATGACGCGAAACTCCTGTACGTCACGATCCGTTCACTTCCTTGTGCACATTTGTACCCTGTGATCCCATCGTTGGCATCTCAACCAGCAAAAAAGTTGTGACCTTGCATTTGTATGTGATTCCGATCTTAGCAACTAGCTCTAATCATGACAGGATTGCTTCGCCACAAGTTCTAATTGTGACCGGATCACTTCGCAGCTAGCTCTAGTCACAGCTGGATCACGATGATTGAGCGAGAGGAGGAGAATACGCAATCATCATTAATCGATGTCTTCGCTCTGGTTGTTTCCTTCTCAGTGAGCTTTAATCGATAATGTATGTCAAGGGGTCACGAAACAAAATTTGGGTGAAAGTTGTCAATGAAATTAGGGCTCTGATATCGTGTAGTATTTTGGGATGAGAAAAATAATTATCCCTCTTCAATTTCATAAAAAAAAATTACAGGTTAAATAAAGGAGATTGTCTCCAATATTGAGAAAACAAAAATATCTGTGATGACTCTCCATAGTAAAAGAAGGGAACACAAATTATGACATATCAATAATAGAATATACTAAAAATAGAAAATACTAATAATAGGAGATATTGGAAATCCAACAAATATACTTCCAAAACATTTCCCGACTTTCTTCAAAATAAAGGAATTATTTCTTAGCATTTATGCCTAAATAAATGTCAACAAATGCTGTTGCAGAACATAAAATTCATTACATGTTATATATTGTCCAAATCTTTTACTCCATCTACATTTTGTTTTGAAGTACCGGCCATGAAAGTACCCATCAAAGTCATACACCTAGATCTTACTCTGCACTATGCACACACTTAGATATTGCGACTAGGACACTATGCGGTAGATTATGTGTTAAGCTAGGACTAGGGTGTTTAAGTAGTTTTTTTTTTTATATTCTAGCTATAGTTCTCTATTGTTTGGTTGCTCTAGCTAGACAACTTTTGTATATGCCTTTTTCTATGTTTACTGGAGTTTGAGACGAGCGCTGGTATATTAGAAGCAGTCTTCTTGCAAAAAAGAGTTGTAATGATTTATACTAACGTCTTTTCTGCAAGTGATGTTAAGCTCTCCTCCCACCGGGCATGTGTTGACCTCATTTTCGGATGAGGTCTTCACTTCTCTCCTTCGAGCCTAGGGACTAGCTTTAGCCTTCTATTATTTGACCCTCCTAGAGGACTAGTATCGGACCCACACCATTAGAAAATTCGAGTCATGACTAGTATCGGACCCACACCATTAGAAAATTCGAGCCATCTCGTCACTCCTTCAAGTCTCGCATGGGCGGTCCCGAATCCTTGGCATTTCACTGAGTTGATTAGGACCGACACATGAAACTCAAGTTGAGTTCCTATATTAATAAGAGCAGCCCCTAGGGAACCCCTTTGTGACCCGAACGCTCGATAATGCCGCATTTTGTGCACGCATTGCACCCCCGCACGATTTTGACTTAAATTGACTCGCCCGTCGGCGAACTCGTCCGGACGATCCCGGATGACGAAACGGACCACACGAATGCGTCCGTGACATCAATTTTAGCTAGGAATGACACACATATCGTTATTGTTTCGCGCGCGAGCGATTAGCATGAATTTCAATGCTTTAATTAGTGGTGCACGGATCCGGGCTCAACCCATATTCGACTCGGATTTGATTCGGGCTGGACTCGAGCTGAACATGAGCTGATTGAATCAACTTATATGATTTTGAATTCCAAACTTTAAATTTCAAATTTATCATTTAATCCCTCGTTAAACTTTTTCAATTAAATTATTGCCGCTCAAGAAAACCATTTAATTCCTCGCCAAGGCTATCAATAACGGCTCCCTCGATTATACTAATTTGCCTCGTATCCTCTTCGGCAGAAGGTTGGACAGGATCATCCCCACGTTGCAGCCCCGCTCTCGAGAGATCCCACTGGATTCCTTCTTCCTCTGCGCCGAACCCCACATGCTCGATACCAGCCTCCCGCTCCTCCAGTTCGAAGCCCCTCGCCTCACCAGCTCCCTTTCGACCGAAGACCCCCTGCTCACCAGCCTTCTCCCGCTCGTCTTCTTCCTCTCCCGAGAATCCTCTGCATTGATCCCTCTCCTCCAATTCGAAACCCTCTCATTTAACCCGCTTCCTTTTTTTCCTCCTCCGCTCCCCTCAGCACCGACCCTGCTCGCCAGCTCTCTGCCTGATTCGACTCTCCTGGCTCAATCCTCCGCTCCTTGGGGATTGTTCTCATCTCTCCCGCTCTCCTCCCAACTACTATTCGACTCCTCCTCTGCTCGACAGCAGAATACTCTCCCGCACTCGCTCGCCTCCTTTCTTCTTCCCGTTTGACTAGCCTGCTTCGGCATCCCTCCTGGTCGAACAACCTGCCTGCCTCGTCTCCTCTTCACTGTGTTTTTGCTTCCCCTGCTTGAAACCCCTCCAATCTCCGTACCCCAACTCGAGACTTCTACCTGAAACAATCGAGGAAGTCGGACTTCCTTTCCAAGTGGTTGAACACTTCCCTGCAGCCGCACCCTGCTACAGGTGTTAATCCCTGCAGGTTTTCGACATTCCCTCCTTACGACTTCCAGGCATCCCAGACATCCTCTATCTGTTGTCTTTCAAGCAGAGCAACCCAACTTGCATATATCCGTAGGAAACTCCAGCCCTAAGCAGAGTAGTCTCCTTTCCCCGTTGTTCTTCTCTGCAGGCTTTCTTGCAGGTCTTCCCTCCTACAGACAGACCTTCCCCACAACCAGATTCTGAACCCTCTTCCTTGCCCGCATCGGAGGTAGCAGGGGTAGAAAAGGAAGGAGCGCAGGACTTCTTCGAGCTTCCGAAATACTTAGAACACATAACCTTAATAATTGCAGCGATTGGGTAACAAAGCATTGTCTTGTTCCTGTGCTTGCTCATGTTATTTATATGTCACTGGTCACATGATTCTCATGGATTTGCATTTCTAACACCATAAACTTTAATTCCAGATTTTTTGGAGTTTTGTGCATCATGCAAGTGATGATTTGCCTACTGTTTTGGAGTCTTTAAATGCAGATTTTCAGGCCCATTCATTTACTGTTTTTGGAGAGCCTTGAACCCCATTTAAGTGCTAATTTGCTTAAGATTTTGGAATCTTTAAATGCAGGTTTTTGCGCCAATCCATTCACTATTTTTGAGGAGCTTTATACCCCACATAAGTGCTGCCCACCGTTGTTTGGATTCGTAGGAGATCACATAGGTGTTGTCCACCATTGTTTGGGTGTGTTGTTTGGGTTCGTAGGAAGCCATCTAGGTGTTGCCCACCGCTATTTGTGTTCGTAGGAAGTCATTTAAGTGTTGTCCACCACTGTTTAGGTCCGTAGGAAGTCATTTAGGTGCTACCCACCACTGTTTGGGTTCGTAAGAAGCCGCATAGGTGCTGACCATTGTTGTTTGGGTTCATAAGAAATCATACAGGTGTTGTTCGAAGTTCCTAATTGTTGTTCGGAGCCGTAGGAATCACCGTACACTTGCTAGTTGTTGCTCAGAGCCGTAAGAGAAGAAGTAGTAAGATCACCGTACTAGCTCGCTAGTTGCAATCAGGAGTTGTAGGAAGCATTAGGATCACATGTTTGGAGTTCTTAGCCGTTGTTACGACTTGTTCTATTGTTTATTGTTTTCTTCTTTTCTCTGCAATTTATTTAAATTCCCTGTAAAGTATATTGTGCTTGGTGAGCTAAATATGCAACAGGGATAGCAGCAGATACGCCACGTATGCAGACACATTTTATTTGTTGTCGCTTCTTCATTACAATTTATTCTTGCTCTAACACATTATGCAGGTACTGAATACAATTTCACTTTTAAAACAAAACAATTTTTCAAAATTAAACAACATTTTCAAAAAAAAAAAAAAACATAACACATTCTTTCAAATTTACGGGAGTCCCTCGGAGGAGGTAACCTACGGTTGCTAATGAGATCTCTCCGGTTTAAATGGATTTCATAATTCGTTTAAGCTAAGTAAATTCAAAAGAAAATAGTGATACCAGAACGAAAGAACCGTGTGATTCTAACCGGTATCGCTCTAATCGACTTTAACATCTCCCATGAAACTTAAATGATCATAACCTTAAGAAATATTTGATTTGACATCATGACTTGACACATTAGAAAATTTAAACCCGCTTCGACGAGGAGTTTGGAGCAACTTCGTGAGCAGTGCAGCAAGAAGTTTGGAACATACTACAAGTGGAGGTGGTCGTCATTTTACAACAACAAAACAAGTCTACACCAGCTAAACTC